AAAATAAAAAAAGAAGACAGACAAGTTGTCAATCAAATTTCAAATTTCAATTTTCCAACTTCCAAGAAATTGCATCTTTCAATTCAACCCCTCTCTTCTCTTCCTTTATTTGTTTAGATTTGGATTCGTGACATGAATGTTAACATGATAGCATGCTTACCATGTGGCTATATGCTTATGTGATATAACTGCATGAATGCCTGTGGGTGAAGGTTGGATTGTTTGAATTGGGATAATTCATCGAAATCCGTATTTTAGTCTACTCGCGAGTAGCAAAATTCAAACCATTTTTCAAACAAACGGAAATGCGATGCTTTGTTCCGACTTAGACAATTTAGTCTATACTTGTTTTGCTGTGCGCATCACATAGTAATTCTAGCTAATTAACCATAATAAGAACACATAACGTTTTCAAAATAAGATATCATGGTTAGTAGAGGCCGATCTTCGGATCGGGCGAGAGGGGGTGCTCATAGCTGACCTTCCCCAATCGTACCCAAGTTCCCGAGCCGAGGCAACTTTGGTGATGACGGATACATGGCCTTAGGCAAACGAGTCAGGTTTCCTAAATTCCCCAAAAATAAAATATTTAGGTGGCGACTTTGTATCTGGCAAAGTAGTCCATGTTTGGCACTTCTTTACAAAAAATCTGTTTTCAAAAACAATTTGCTAGATTTGGACTCTTTGGTTCAGATTAAGAACCGTGACAATTTGAGTCCGAACTGTAGCCAACCTACAAACGAACAGAACCGGACTCATCCTCCCGGGGCGTTCGGGGGACATCTACAACTTTCTGTCTCTCAAAATTTGTAAGGCAAGTCTCAAGTGCTTCTCATGCTCATCATTACTCTTGGAATATATCAATATATCGTCGATGAAAATGACCACAAACTCATCTAGGTATGGCTTAAAGACTCTGTTCATGAAATCCATGAATGCTGCAGGAGCATTAGTCACTCCAAAAGGCATTACCAAAAATTCGTACGGCCATATCTTGTCCGAAAAGTAGTCTTCTCAACATCCTCGGCTTTAACGTTGAGCTGATGGTAGCCTGACTTGAGATCAATCTTAGAAAAGACTCGTGCTCCTTGTAATTGATCAAGCAAATCATCAATCCTCGGCAATGGATACTTATTGTTAATGGTTACCTTGTTTAGCTCTCGGTAATCAATACAAAGATGAAGTGTACCATCCTTTTTCTTAACAAATAGAACTGGTGCTCCCCAAGGTAAAGTGCTCTGCCTAATAAAACCCTTATCCAACAACTCTTGTAGTTGCAGTTTCAATTCCTTAAGCTCAGCTGGGGCCATTCTATAGGGTATTTTGAAGATAGACTGGGTTCCCAACATAACATTAACAGTAAATTCTATTTCTCTATCGACTAAGTGGCCAGGCAAGTCATTTGGAAAGATGTCGGGGAATTCATTAAGAACTGGGATATTGGCAATTTCAGCGTTTCCATTCTTATTACTTAGTACACTACACAGATAACCTCGACACCCTTTTTTGATTAGCTGATAAGCCTTCATGGACGAAATCAAGTAAGGTGGGGATACTACTCCTTTACACTGAAACATAACCTCGGCTTGGTTTGGGGGTTTCAATGTGACACTTTTGGAAACACAATTAATAGATGCACGATTAACTACCAACCAATCCATTCCCAATATAGCATCAAAATGAGTCATATTCAACAGCATCAAATCAACTAATAATTCAATATCCTCAATCACACAACATACGCCCTATAAATGGATGCAACAGTCATAGTTCTCCCAGATGGAGTAGATACAGATAACACA